TACAATTTTTAGACTGACAACATTTCTTTTTAAAGAACATTTCTAGAATTGTATAAGAAACTTTGTTTGTGGCTATCTGCAAGAAGCTTCTGGAAAGGGTACAAAGATTAAAATAATCTTCACAATACAATCAAATTATTCTGACCAATAGAGGGTACTGAGAAATGATTTTAATCCTTACTAGAGACAGCATGTAGTTTGCTGTCTCCAAAGAGTGTAAGCCACCAGAGCCCATCCTGTGGTTTCCTGACAATGGCACCTTAGCTGTCTGAAGTAGTCTTACTCCCTCTGCCCCTGAATGGGATTTTCAATTGTTTTTTAAAGGGAGAAATAGATGAGGGAAACTGTCATTAGACTAGTAGATAGGTGCAGTGACAGAAAACGAAGAACTTGCTAAGTAGTTTGGCTTTTGTTTCTTCCTCTCACAAGGCAGAGAATAGATATTTTCATTATAGAAAACAGCTATTCAAACAGCTAGAGAAACCATTTATTGGACAGGATTATTTGTTCTTTTACAAAGTGCTTCTGAGTCAACTATGAGTTGGAGAAGCAGTTTTTAAAGCAATTTCAATAATTTTGCCTAAAGGTATTTAAAATACAATAATTTTTATTGCTTTAAAATTTTGTTATGTTTTTAGCTTTGAATATTGGAATAAACCCTTAGCCAAATAATAATAATAATAATCATCATCATCATCATCATCATCATCATCATCCAAAGGTCTATCTCTAAAACATCAAAGGTAAGTCCGTTTGTAATGGGTTTACAGTTTGTTTTCTATCTCCAAAACAATGCAGCTAATTCCACATTTGCAGTTCCTAAAACACTACAGTATCAGTTGACTCCCTTTTTTACATTGCTTATTTGAATGTAATGCAGCCTCTGTTGAAGGGCTACAGCACAGAGTGCAACAATCACAAAAAACCCAAGCCATTATTCTAGCAAGACAGGGCTGTGCACAGGTGGAGACAGCAGTTACTTTCCACGGAGCACAAGGCATACTGCAGGTTTATTGGGCTGCTATGATTGCGGAAAGGTTCATTAATTTCTTGGTATAACCAGAGAAGGTCTTTTCAAGTTTGGAAAAGATGTTAGATTCATTCAAAACCAACTTACCTGACAGAAAAACCCTTAAAGAGAGCTTTTAGTATTGAAGATGTTGAATTACCTCTCACTTGAGCTAAGCAAAACAAAACAATGAATCCATTAAAGGTACTTGTGAGACTCAGTCTTCCAGATGCAACTACATCCCCCTTATCCTTTCCCTAATTTTATTTTAACTTTTCCTAATTATTTTAGCTACAAATCTCAACTTTCTTTTTCAATAAACTTTTCTTTCTTTCTTTCTTTTTTGAGCCTTTATGTGGCAATCACTGAAGGTTGAGGATGCATAGGGAATAAAACTTATCTGGCTGTTACTCTCAGAGTTCATAATGTGGCAATGATAATAAGGATATAATCGATAAATTAAAATTTAATATAAAATATTTCTCAAAGAAGATATTAACAAAGTATCAGGTGATTAACAAAAGTTTATTGGAGAAGCCTAGAAAAGGTAAGGACAGACACGTAGGGTTAGATGGGAAAAGAAGCACAACCGGCTTCTTAGCTCTTCTTAGTTCTTTCTTCCCAATAACTCTCAAGACCACCCAATAACTGTCAGCCTTTTATCTCTACCCCCACTTCTCCAATACAATTCCTCAAAACCCTTGATGTGTTTATTCTTCTTGTTTTGGGTCTACCCTCTACAACAAACAGATAGATAGATAATCCCAGTATTGCCTTAGGGGAAAAAAAAATCTTCCAACTTCCTACTTTCTTCTGTACCTGGGGGCTGTCCTTTCAATTATTGACTTATTCATGACTTTGCAAACACATGCTATGCTCTGCACCCCTGTGCTGGGCTCTCATTGTTCTTTCATCTTAAAGTACTATCCATTACAACTTTTGCAGTCATGTTACTAATGAGTTTCTGGAATGTGTCTAATACATTCCTGTCTAAAGAAGGAACTGAAATTTGGATTTTATTTCATTTTAATTATCTTTTATTCAAGTAATCACATGTAGTAATTTTGGAACTGAAAGCACTGGTCTCAAATATTCTTCTTTCCCATAGAAGTCCTTTAATTGTTTTGTTTTGTGTTGTGTTGTTTTGTTTTGTTGAGACAGGGTCTCCTTGTAGCCTCAGCTGGCCTGGAACTCACTATGTAGACTAGGCTGGCCTTGATCTCACAGAGATCTGCCTGCTTCTGCCTCATGAATGGTAGGATCAAAAATGTGAACCACCATGCCTGGCTTCCTTAACTATTCTTTAAGGCCATGTTTAATATTATCTCACTAAAAAGCCATTTTTTTTTATTCCATTAGTCAGCATTTCTGCTCACACTTTTCAAGTACCTGCTATATTCTAATTTGTATTAAAAGTATTTAGTGATTTTTTTTTCTTATAACCCAATATTACTTGCTTTTCTCCTTTTCCAACTAGCTGACAAATTTTTCCTATAATTCTTGATAATTGTGTACATAAAAGGGCACCTAATAAGTAACAGATTTATAAAGGGCAATAAGCTGGAGTCAGTCTTCACTTGGAACAAAGGGACTTGGGTTTATTCTGCTTAGTTCAAGTTGAGTTAATCACCAAACTGGCTATTGTTCTAGATAAGCCTGTACCTATGCAAAAGTCATCAAAAATGAATTTAAAGTTTAGCATGAATACCTCAAAGTATTCTAACAGAAACCTTATCCCATTTGTTACCTTACTTCCATGGACTGATGGCACATAAACAACAAGATGAGACAGAGAAGGATAGTCTTGAAGCCTTAAGGTCAGAGACTAAAAAAATGAACAAACAAAAAGACGAAGATAAAAAGTTATGGTTATTTCTCAGGTAGAGATAAATATGTGTTAAAAGAAAGATAAATTAAAAACACTTATTTCTCAATTAATTATTCAAAAAAGCATTTCATAGTACACTTGCTTAGTATGTAGATGGTCTTAGATTTAACTCTCAGCATATTCTCTACGCTCCCACAAACACACACACAAATCAAACTTAACGTTCAATTTTACATTCCTAGATTAATAATCCTACAAAAAGACCAATCCCTAATAACTATTGATAAATAAAAACAATGCAAAATATCCCTTGAACTATCTCTTCAGATAAAACAAAAACATTTAACACTATAATTAATGATTTTATATAATTATTTCTAATTTTGGCATTTTCCTTTTTGTGATTTAGCTACTTATATAGAGGGCACTTGGTATTATCTTTACATTTATCTTGGTCATGAATGACAAAGAACATCAGAAAGTTGCTAAGTATGATGAGACACAATTTAATCTCAAATGATTCTGACTTGGCCCAAGTAGCAAAGAGTTATAGCTAATGGTACAAATAATCACCATCTACTGGAATTTATTTAGTATAGGACAAAGACATGTGACTAATAATGCACCTGACCAAATGAACAACTATAGTTTCTATCAATTAAGATCAGATCTTACAGTGCATATTTGAGAAATGAATAGGTAGATTTGTCTTTAAAAAAAAAGAAAACTCCAGCCTCCAAATACAGTTTCTAACCAAGTCTTATTTCTGGAAGTGGATATAAGATGAAAGTATATATAATATGCTTACATTAAGAAATTTCTATACCCTTGTTTTCTTTACTCTTTCTCAGAAGCACCAGTGTACACAAATAGGACACAGGTGCCGAGGCTAAAAAGCTGTGAGAAAGTGGCCCTAACAACCTGATCAGAAGCCCAACTTAGTCTCTGAAACAAACTCTGATGTCCTAATGTGGCATTAAAATGACACATAAATTAACTATTGATAGCTGAAATCCATCAGAAAAGGATAGATAGCATGAAACAGAAATCAGTCAGGAAGAACTCAGAACTACTTTGAATGCAATTGACTCCAACAGCCTCTAGATACTTATTCTTGATAATGGCAGTGTAGAATTTGTGTTTTATTGGAATGCTCCATCTATTTCTTGACAGTACAGTCAGCAGAGATGCCCCAATGTGATGATTTACACATTGCACTGTTCAGATGACATTAATATGGATAAAACCTATAAAAGATTTTTACTTTTTGTAAACCTATGGGTGTGTGTGGAAAGAAAGCTACTTCTTAGTTGCTGCCTGACTTTTACTATATTACCTTGTCCATTTGATAAGGATCCCTACATCTACAGTGCTGTTGGCACAGTGGAAATACACAGTAAGTAAACAGGCAGGGTCAGTGTAAAGACCTCTCAGAACATTTCTGTTCAGGGGGAAAAAAACACAACAACTTACATCTATTTAAATGCTTCTCAAGATCTTTAAGTCTCAGGCAACACTTTTTTTCCCCTTTAAACAAGTACCACACTTTTGCCCTGGTGATGGCCTAGACTAGGTTGGTTTTTAAAAAAAAAAACAAAAAAAAAACAGGGCTCTGCCAATATTCTAGGCTGGCCTTGAACTCACTATGTAGCCCATACTAGCCTCAAAAGCAAGGTGATTCTCCTGCCTTAGACTCCTGCGTGCCGGTGTAACGGGCACAAGCCACCATGCCTGGCCATTCCTTCATTTTTACAGCCAAAAAATTTTGTGCTACTTATATGAAATCTTGGTTTTTTTTTTCAGTATAATGGAAAAGTTTATGCTTAATAAAATCTTAATCAGAGAAGATCTAAGACTGTGGAATACTGCAATCCTTGTTTTGAGACAGGGTCTCCTTGTAGCCCCAGCTGACCTGGAACTTCCTAGGTAAACCAGGATGGCCTCCATCTCACAGAGATTCCTCTGCCTCTGACTGCAGTGTGCTGGGATTAAGGGGCAAGCCATCAGGCCCAGCAGGAAATCCTTATTATTCTACTTCTCCTTCTACTAGCACTATTAGGAACTAAACAACTAAAATGTCTTCCTGCTGCTCAGGAATTTGACTCTTAAGAACAAACACAGGATTTGCAGTTTCATAAACACAGTCTTCAGAGATTTAAAAAAAAAAAAAAAAACAGTATTAAGAATTTAAGAAATTTAATTTTTGAGGGGGCTCTTTTTGAGACAGGGTCTCCCTGTAGCCCAAGGTGTCCTGGAACTCACTATGTAGACCAGGCTGGCCTTGAACTCACAGAGATCTGCCTGCCTCTGCCTCCCAAGTGCTGGGACTACAGGTGTGCGCCACCGCGCCCAGCAAGAAACTTAATTTTTTTTTTAAGACAAGGCCTTACTGTATAGCCCAGGTTGGCCTTAAATGTGTAGCAATCTTCCTGCCTCAACCTCCTCAGTGCTGGGATTACAGGTGTATACCACCATACACAGACAAGAAATACATTTAAAAATATAAGAACTGAGTACATTTTATAAGATCTTTAATCATTTATTTCCTCTTAACTCTGAAATTGTAAGATGGATAGAATATCCAAATTGGAAATTCAATGAAATATTGATCATATCTTGTGAATTATGGATAAATAAGTGCATCTTAATACCTATCATTTGTTTTCCTTCTGCCTGGAAGACTAGGAAACACTCAAGGACAGACCTTAAAAATGTTTGTGGTGGTTTGAATGAGAATGAGAATGAGAATGGAGCCCATAGGCTCCAAGTATTTGTACATTTTGTCCCCAATGGGTGGCGCTGTTTTGGGAGGTCTTAAAGGTGTGGCTATGCTGGAGGAAGTAGTCACTGGGGTGGACTTAGAGAGTTCTTAATTGCCAGATCTCCAGTTGCTCTCTTGCTTCCTGTGCCTGCTTGAAGATGTAGAGCTTAGCTTCCACTTCTCCTCCAGCCACCTCTGCCGCCATGATGGACTCTTGCCCCTTGGAACCATAAGCTCAAATAAACTCTTCCTTCTATAAGTTGCTTTGGTCAGTGTTTCTATCACAGCAACAGGAAAGTAACTAATATAATGTTCATGAGTTAAACTGTTTCCTTATACATTTGTTTTACAAATACAGATAATATTCATTTCCCAAATGAATATGCATAAAGTAGGATGGACCAGGGCAACAGGAAAATGGCAGCTATTCTAAGTTGTAGGATGCATCATTCTTCTTTTAAAGTTCTCTGTGCTAGTACAGTATAGTTATTTATGAAAATAAGTATTAAAATGTGCTGGGCATGGTGATGAAGGCCTGTATTAGTTATTCAGGTGCCGAGGCAGAAGGATCACAGGCCTGCTTGGGCTACAGAGGGAGTTCAAGGGCAGCCTGAGCAATTTAGTGAGACCACCGTTTCAAAATAAAAAGTGGCCAGGCATGGTGGTGCACACCTTTGATCCCAGGACTAGGGAGGTAGAGGCAGGTGGATCTCCGTGAGATTGAGGACAGCCTGGTCTACACTGTGAGTTCCAGGCCAGCTGAGGTCACTGGGAGACTCTGTCTCAAAAGAACAAAATGAAAAGTGAAAAGAGGACTGGAGACTCAGTTCAGTGCAGTGAGCGAGAGGGTACAGGTTTAATCTCCAGTATTGCTTCCTCCCTCAAAAAATTATTATTGACTAACACAAATAACTAAACTGGCATCAATAGGAAGATGACTGGGACTAACCATATGTCTTCTTTTTCAAGGAGTCTACCATTCATTAGGAAAATACACTTTATCTTTAAAGTATTTGTTTACTTGAAGACTGAAATTATCAATCCCAATATGAGATTATGAGTTATAATAAGTACACCTATTTTCACCAAATTGGAGACTTCTCTTTTCTGCAAACAATAGATTTTGAGAGTATACAAATTAGTCATTTTAAAAAGACTTGCTAACTCACCAGAGCTGCTTAAGGAAATCACTAACAATTATTGAGTAAATCCCTGCTGTGACTTATCAACCTGGAGTACTAGACAAAGGAAGAGCTACCCAACTGCTTATCCACAGTGTGATGTTGAAGTTGACCTAGAAAATTACTCAATGTCTGTTTGAATATTCCCTACTGCAGGGCTGTCCTCCAAAATAATTCTGAGTACAATAAAATCACCTTAAATTCAAGACAAGCTATCTAGCATACTCTCAAATTTAATTTTAAAAGTCTATCTAGTTCTTTTGGCATGATACTGTAACAGAAATTTAGATGCTGACAACTTATAGTTTTAATCTCTGAAAGTAAAGCTAATACATAAAGCTAATTGCTATTCCTCATCACATGTTTCTAAAGAAAAAGCTCTAAAGTGCAGGTTAGCAAATCTCAACTTCATTTAATACCAACATTAATAAAAGCGTATTCTAAAATGTTTCTGGGCACAAACATTTTCACCTATTAAAATCTCAAGCCATGGTTTACCTTAATTGTCGGCAGCAGCTCAGCTTTCCATGACAAATCGACCCCTTGCCGGCTTTGAAACAAAGATGAGAATATAATGAGAAGACGAATCTGTTCAAGTATTAAAAATCACAAAGAAGCTTCAGAGAGAAAAGAGACCATCTACAGACCTGTGGTGAGAGACTACTTAATGAGTTATCATGCAAATCTAACAAGCAGATCTGGATAGTTCCACTGGAAACAAAACATGTTTTCTTAACAATCAACTATTTGGATGCTTAAAAAATAACTAGCATATAAATTTCCTTTTTCTTTCATTTAAAAATCAATGCTAAAGGGGCTAGAGAGATGGTCCAGCAACTAAGAGCACAGGCTGCTCTTGCAGAGGACCCAGCACCCACATGGCAGCTAACAACTGTCTGTAACTCCAGTTCCAGGGTATCCAATGCCTTCTTTTGACCTCCATGGGCATTGTACAACACAGGTACATCCATATACATAAAAGAAAAATAATAAATAAAAATATTTTAAAAATCAATGTTAGGACTTGGGAGGCAAGAGGCAGGAGGATCTCTGTGAGTTTGAGGTCAGCCTGGTCTACATAGCAAGTTCCAGGTCAGCTGAGACTACAGGGAGACCCAGTCTCAAAAAGACCAAACAAAACAAAACAAAAACAAAAACAAAAAAATCAATGCTAGGATCAGCCAGTGAGATAGCTCAGTGGGAAAAAGCCCTAGCTCTGCAGGCTTGGTGACCTGCGTTCAATTCCTAGAACCCATGGTGAAAGGAGAGATCTACCTCTTAATAGCACATGTGCACTGTAGCTGTGTGTGTGTGTGTGTGTGTGTGCATATGTGTGTGAAGAGTTACTCTGGAAGTTTAACTTTTGAGCATTGTTTTTGCTGAAAAATGGGCAACAGAGGTCCACAGATTCAAAAGACTTACCACATGGAAGTGCTGTTTATGCAGCCAAAAATCCAACTATTTGTATCCTGTTGGTTAATAACAGAAAAAAATCCCACTAAATAGTGTATAAAATAATGATACAAAACAAACATCTTCAATACTTCCCTGTTATATATGATAGGTGAGTTGGACCAAGGGAAATGTAGTGTGTGACAAAGAAACATTTGATATGTTCTTAACAGACACACAGGTAAAGGACAGGCAAGGAAGTATACTGCTAACATGGCTGGGTTAAGTGAGTGGCTGACCCAGAGCATCTGTACAGCCCATCACCTAAGCATTTCTAATTGTTGCATGGGGATTTTCAGAGTCCAGTAATGTCTGTACTTCAGATATACTGGAACCTACATTTTAACAAAACCAGAAGTGCAAACTAGAGACAGACTTTTATAGAAACAAATACTCAGAGCCAGGAAGTTAAAAGCAATTAAAAGTCAATACCTCTAATTTTAAAAGTTAGCCTGTATACAGCTTTTCACCTTATCATTCGTGTTCTCATTTTACTACCAGGAAATAACTTCTAAAGGACCAGGAACACATTTAGACATTTGCTGGAGATGAAGACTGCTCACTACTGTAGTGGCAGAGAGAGATGCAGCAGAAATACCATTTTAACAACGTCCTAAATTTAGCTTTAGTTATTTGAAAGCACCACCATCTGAGAACTTTACTAAAACTTTTATGGAAGTCAAAGTAATGTTCCAAGATCTGATGAGATGATCTAGTTAGGGAAATCCTACCAGAATGTAGGAAGCTGAGAAGTTCTGTCAGACAGCTAGAGAATATGGCTTTAGACTTAGAGATAAAATAATAAAAAAAATAAATTCTTTCATCCAATCAATATTTATAAAATCCATTTGAAAACCAAAAAAGCTGTTAAGGTCTCAGAGAAAATGATAAGACAGGCAAACAGTCTCTGCTTTCATGGAGTTTAAATAACAACATTAAGACTTTAAGAATACAAAAAAGCTAACAGGAATCAAAAAACAATGTGGTATTTCTCTCATCTCACCACAGGCAAAATACTTGTGTGATTCCTGTTTTTCAAAGAAATAAAAGACATCATAAATCAAGAAAAGAGAATGAATCTGTAGCCGTGCGTGGTGGCATATGTCAATAATCCTAGCACTTGGGAGTAAGGAATAAATGAAGTAAGAATGGCAGAATGTTGGTAATTGTTACAATTGTGTGTTGGTTACAAAACAATTCATTATCGTATTTTCTCCCTACTTTTACATAAGCTTAAATTTTCAACAATAAAAATGGAAAAGATTTCTTAAAAATTCACATATTATCTTATGGTAATTAATGCAGAAAACAATCCCTTAATCAGGCAAATGGATAATCCGCATTATGGCAAGCATTTTTTTCCTCAATATAATATTAACCTCTTGCTATGGTTTGAATGTGAAATGTCCAATAGGCTTATGCTTTTGAACACTTGGTCCCTAGCTAACCATGCCATTTTGGGAGGTTGTGGAAACTTTAGGAGGCAAAATCTAGCTTGAAGGGTGGTGCTGTGGTTTGGGCATTGAGGGTTATAGGCCAATCCCATTTTTGGTCCAAACTCTCTGCTTCCTCATTATTGTGCTCTGAGGAGCCCCAGCTGCATGCTTCTGCTACTGTGAACTCCACATGCCTTCCCTGCCATGATGGATGGCACCCGCTTAAACTGTAAGCCAAAATAAATGCTTTAAGTTGCTTCTTTCCAGTATTTTATTACGGTGACAATAAAAATAACTAACATATCTTCTAATTTGAAACAGTATTAAGTTAAGACAGATATGTTAAGCTATCATTCTTGGGGGAAGATTCTCTCAGGATCAACTGCCCATACTCACTTTAGGCTGAGAGGTGCTGCTATCTAAAAGAGATATAGCTGGGCATGGTGGTGCACACCTTTAATCCCAGCATTCAGGAGGCAAAGGCAGGCAGATCTCTTGAGATCAAGGCCAGCCTGGTCGATATAGAGATTTCCAATATAGCTGGGGCTACAGGGAGACCTTGCCTCAAAAAAATTAACTAACTAAATAAGTAAATAAATAAATAAATAGGTAAATAAATGGCATACAAAGCTGGAAATCCCACTAAAATGTGCCAGGGCAGAAGGATGTTGAATCCAAGGTCAGTCTGGGCTACACAGTGAGACTCACCCTCAAACAAACAAATAATGCAAATAACAAATATTAACAAAGTGGAGAAAGAGGTAAATTATGAAAGATGAAAATATAACATAAAGAATCCTGAGACATATCAAAAGCAAAATTCAGAATAGATCAAAAGGAACCCAAACTGGGAGAAAAAAAAACAACAACCAACTCTTAAGTAAGAAATGTTGATAAATTATGGAACTATTTTTTTTACCATTTCTAGTATCATAGCAAATTATGCTATAGCATCTAACAATTTAAAAAAATATGGAACATTTCACAAGTTTGCATCCCATCCTTACAAAAGAGCCATGCTAACTAAGTTCCTCTGTATGGTTCCAATTTTAGTGTATGTGTATCTAGCAGGTATTTATAAAAAGAAACAGAAGCATTACTTGGCTACAGTAAGCCCAAGTTATAATACACAGTTACTCATCATCTTAAAGAGAGTCTGGTATAAAAAGCACTTCAAATTACAGTATGGAAACAAATAGTAACATAGGATTCACATTACAAAATTCCAATGAACAATTTCGTTAACTGGACTTATTCTTTAAAATACTAACAGAACTTTAGAGGGGCTTTGAATTCAATTCTTTCATCCTAAATACAGTGAATCTAAGGCTGAGAAACAGGGTAGAAAATGGGAAGGTAGAAGTTAATAGTATATTATCAATTATAGATAAACTGTGACTCATTTTTCAATCAAAACACTGTTCCAAATGTACATTCTTTCAACTAATGAAATTTAATAATTATAGAATTATAGTTAGAACTGCTAGATTATTAGTTGAATCTTAAAAAATGAATAATAGCTTTTCAGATTTATATAAAATGTACCAATTATCTTACCAGCATGGTGCTCTGACAGTAGGCATGAGTGTAGATTTTTCTATGATTTGCAAGAGGAAATGTAAAATATATCTTATCAGATTCCTAAAAAAGAGAGAAAATAATATAATTCTAATGAGTGAATAATTTCATCATTCCAAAAATTGAAACAACAATAATGAATTATTCTAATTTTGCTATTACTGGTATTACTTAAAACCAACATGCTAGGAATGGGAGATAAAAGATAAGGAAGCAAAAATAGAGAGATTAGGTATAAGTTTTATAGTTGTAAATTGTCCTGGAAGTATCGGTATTAATGCATTTGTATGTGTATGATTATTGATCTCTTGTTTTGTTTTGTGTTTTGAGACAGGGTCTCACTTTATAACCCAGGCTGGTATAGAACTTGCCAAGTAGATCAGGCTGGCCTTGTACTTCCAGCAATCCTCCTGCCTCTGCCTCACAAGTGCAGGGATTCCAGGAGTATACCACCATGCCCAGCGTGATATCTGATCTTTCAGTTACAATGAAATATATTTATTAGCTCTAGCTACTGAAAGGTCTAGAAATGACAAACTGGTAATTCTAAACCAGACTATGGTTTGTAAGTACCATTTCACAAATAAAATAATTCCTTAAACAAACAGCAAATTCAAGTACTAGAACACGAGGTGCAGAAAATGAGCTGCAATGCTGTCACACTGGACAATAATGAAAGCAGTAGGGACAACTAAACAGCTGTGTATAAAAGATGAAGGAGCCATCCTGAAGTGCTTCAACTCGTCAGACACAGAACAGCTAGTAATCAACAGAAACACACCATATTTACATCCAAGTGTTCACAGCGGCACTGGGGGAGGAGAGGATTCTAAAAGTCACTCACAGGGGATGATAACAAGTTAACTCACTATTCTGATAACCAGTGTATATAAGGCAAAATCCAAAAGTCCAGTATTTTTCATTCTTTTCCTTTAGGATTTTTTACTTTTGACAACTTTAGTTATGTAAGAGGAATTTTTCTGTGTAATATCCTCATTAATAAACCAAGAAGGAATTTCTATAGCCTCCTAAATAAATTCATTCAGCAATCCCTCAGCACTCCTCACCAACTGCTACATCTCAATACAAGAGAGTTTAGGAAAAGGAAAACACTAACCAACAAACATCTGAACCTTATCATGCATTTGGATCCAACACGAAATCAGGTAAGGAAGTAGTGAAGGAATATCTTGAAAGACCACAGAAATACAATCAGCAAAATCAACCCAGTGTGAAATTCCTTCACAAAAACAACATACTTTATCAACAAATTTGAAATAAAAATAAGGGTAGAAAACAAACCGAAGAGGATTAACACACATATCAGCCAACAGCAATGTGTAGGCCTTGTTTGGATTGTTATCTAAATAAACTGTAAAACAAAGGTAAAAGGAAATATGAATTTATGATAAAATAGGAAAACACTGATTAGATCATTATTATTAAGGTATTATTACCATCTGGTAGGAAAACATTATGTGATTTATCTTTTTTTAAAAGTTCTAATTTTTATTTTATTTCATTTTTATTTTTTGATTTTTTTGAGAAGGGTGTTCCTGTAGCCCCAGCTGGCCTGGAACTCACTATGTAGACCAGGCTGGCCTTGATCTCATAGAGATCTGCCTGCCTCTGCTTCCCAAGTGCTGGGACTAAAGGCATGTGCCACAAGGGCCAGTTAAAGTTAAAATCTTTAACTGCTAAAGATAAATATGACAGTAAGTTTGGAAAACAATACACTGATGGAATACTTACATTGTAAGCCACATAGGTCCATCTGGACACTTTTACTGGAACCCACATAGACGTCCCTTAATGTGAAGGAAATTAATTTATTTGCCTTGTTTTGTTTCCATATTAAATAATTTCTTTATTTTTTGAATTCTGGTGAAATACAACAAGGATGTGGTTTCCTAAATGTTGGATACTTTATTTAAAAAATCCAGAAACATGTCCTTTGTGCTCAATATCAATTAGTGCTCACAGCAAATAAAGTATTAGAAATTTATTTGGCATCTTTAACTTAAAAGAATTCTCAACAGTAGGAAAGAACTATTTTCTATAACAAGACATTTAAAAAGTATAGTAATATTGTATTTAAAAGCAAATGTATCAGGCACAAGATAAACTAATAATCCAAAAGATGACTGAGGAATGCATGAGACTGAGAAACGGAAAGGCATCATAAACAATACAGCTCTTATGCTCTGTGATTGTCAGGAAAAACATGGATACTTAACTCTCAAGACTTTCTATTTGTCATGTTATTTTCAGTAAAAAATTCTTATGAGCATTTTACAATTTGTTTTTTCTACTTTCTCCTCTCCAAACCAAGAAGCTAGCCAGTACCACAATAGGGAAATTAGAAAATATTAGGATTGTAATGTTGTAAGTATTACATTTTCCTACCAATAGCAGATATTATTAATAAATGGCCACTGAGAACATATTTACCAAAAATAATACTGAAAATCTCTACATAAGATGTTATTACCACCAACCTGTTAGTTCAGAAATTATTGCTGGATTTTCCTCAAACTGTTTTGCTGGGTGTCTTATAAAGTGGTGATTTAAAACAGACAATTTTTTCTTGGAATTTTGAGTTATCTAGAAAGAACATTAATATAGTCTATATATCATTTTATATCATGACAATTTAATGAAACATTATTTCAAGTAAGAAAGATCATTTATTTTCTCTGAGCAAGGTATGGCTCTAAGCCCTTGACATTATTAACTAATTGTGACAAGAACCCTAAGAGTTAACATGTTTGTCTACATTTTAAATAGGAAAAAATTAAGGTAGAGAGAAATTAAGGAATTTGTCTAAAGTCACATAACTATTAAGACTCTGGGCTGTAATGCTTTACCATAATGAAAACGACTACGTTAAAAATTAATTTTTTTCTCCAAAAGGAGAAAGAAGTCAGAGTCATGGAACAGTAATAAACCACAAGATGACCTGAGGGAAAGACTGTTTCAGATGAAGACCAACCTGTTCCCAGCTCACAGAAGTAGCTGAAGTTAGTGAACAGAATTCTCTTAATTATGCTGAAATTATTTATCTACTAGCCAATAAGAGACACAGAGTAACATGCTGTTCTGTACAGGGTACAGTGATTTCCATGTTCTGCTAACTGAGCACCTTGGAGAATCACTTTGAAGAATTCATATTATGAAATCTCAGTACAGAAATGGCTCAACTTGAGCTCTTGTGAGTTTGGGTTATTCAATGATTGTATATATCTTGATCTTATCAAGATGCAAAAGACGATTTTAAAACATGGTTCAAAAATACTTAGTAAAACAGATTATGGTGTTTATAATACATTACTTAGAAAAATCATTAAAGTTTTTAATAAGTATCCTAAATTAGAAATAAAAAAGGATATGTATCAAATTTTTAAACTGTAAAGAGAAAGAACTGAGGGAAGATTGGGAGCCTTGCACATTTTTGTTTCCACTGCTTCTAGGAATTAATAGCCTATATATTATAGCAGAAGAAAATAAAGATATTTCCATTTCAGAACTAATTAAAGTTGATACATGGTATAGGTTTCTATTAGTATCAACATTAAGGTGCATTAAATCTATTATTGCTGTAACAAAAGCTTTCACTTTGCTAAAATAAGATTTTAGTTTAAAAATACATACCTGTTTAGTATCGGCATCAATGAGATCAAAGAAGGCTCGAATTGTAGTCAATTGCAATTGTTTACACCTAAAGAATGAAATTTCCTTAAAACACATACTTTTAATTCAAACATGCACAATTCTACTAGTTAATGGAATATATGAGTTTCCTTTAATGCTGTAAACTAAGAAGTTATTTAATAAGTCATTCTTACTAAGCATCTATCTTAAAGCTGAATCCTATAAAAGCAAAGCAAACTAAATCTTCCTGGGTGTCTGACAGAAGAACTTCCCTACTACTGCCCATGTCTTCAGCCACAGACAGGCCGTGTCTGTGTCATCTCTATGTGTCTGAGCCATCTCTACATGCCTGCAGTGCGTGGCTCTTGCAGACGCTACACCTTACACAGGCTGAGGAAGAGCAAAAGAGAAACCCGAAGCCAAAATACAAGGAGCTAGACACTAGAGTCTGAGCTTCTTAATCCATATTCAATCTCTCATGGTTTTAGTCACATTAGGTATAGGTCTAATTCCTACTTGGTTTCCACTGCTGCTCACTAGGAAAATCACTGCTACATTAACCACATCTGAGGATGGTGACTGGTTGGCTCTGAAAATCCTACCAGGGGTACATTTGACTGCACAACTGTGACAAATCCTACATTTTGGTATTTGACACTGATGTTACTTGTTCTTCACAAGATGATCTTACAGACTGTCCAGGAAACCTTGGTCAAACAGACAAGAACCAAGTTTAGCATTCTAAACCCTGTTAATCTTTCTTCCTGGATTTCTTTATGGATCAAGTTCTAAGAAAACTAGCAAACCAATTAATACATTCATGAGAAAAGAAGACCATGAAGAATCATCAAAATAAGTTACAATAACTTACCACACAATGGAAAGGTGGTCTGTGGAGACCCAGGTCTTAGGTACTGCTGAGCTCTGAAAGGAAAGGAGAAGGGAAAAAATTAAACTCAAGTACATTAGTCTTTGAAATTATTATAAGCTAATATATGGAAACAAACATCATTAGTTTCACTATACTGTATACATTTTAAATGATATATTATTTAATTAGAATAATACATTCTTATAAAAGATAATCCAAATGTCTTATTTCCTGCACAATATAACATAACTCCCTTTAAACGCCATTACTCGTTAGTCAAGCTTATGTTACCCTTTTAATTATTAACATAGTCATGGATTTTATATTGAAGTTTAACATCTAACATTTTAAAAACATAAGTAAAAGCTGAGCTTAAGATCCTTTACTAAATCAAAGTTTATGTAAAAGTTTCAGTCGATATTCTATGATTTTAGCTTTAACTAAATAAACTACTACTTGATAGATTCTAAGAAGTGATTTTGTAATTAGGACTGTGCCTAAAAGGTGTTTATTAGTATATACTAATTACACAAATTAAGGGGTTTCATTATGACATTTCCACACATGCTCACACTATATACCAGTCATTTTCACACTCTTTCACTCTATCACTTTTTCCCCCTCCTTCCCCTCCCACATCCACAGTGGCTCCCCTTTGAGTTTCACATCCTTATTTCCCCTATCTGTACACATGAAAAAAATGCGGCATTTATTTTCTGAATATGCCTTAAGAAACAAACACTTAGCAAAAATTTCTAATTAAATATGCCTGACCACAATTCCAAGACAACCTAATCAGATTCTCCTTAGTGGGACCCAGGCTTACTAATCTTTAAAGTCCTCTATGAGTAGGGTGTATACAGGAGTTAGTGACAGGGGAAAAGCCTCCTAAGAAATTTAACAATTTGCAGAAGGCTTCCTAACAAAGGCACAGCACCCTTCAGGAACTAAAGATCCTTCCAAAGCAATGACTTCTCTGTGAACAGCATCCTACATACAATAGAGGCTCATTAAGCAAATCTGATTTTATTTTTCACAGTACCTCTCCCAGTACCATCAAAGACATAATGAGCTGCCATCATCAAAACTGTCAAAACAAAATGAAAACAGGAGACTAACAGAACGACGCAAGAAAATTTAAAAAGGCCTAAAATGCGTCTTTAATAAATGAATTAGGGAAACTGGGGTCATTGCCACTCTTGTACTCTAACAACAATGTATCTAGGTATCAGGTTCTATAGAGAGGAATCTATAGTCTGTTGAATTTGTAAGCACTTGATATGTTTAGGAACTACTGCTGACAGCTTACTAAAAAATCAGACAACCAGAGTCTGCTATGATTCTAAGATTTTATTAGATACTCAGAAGAATAACAATTCAGCAACCTGTAAGCAGCATTTACCATTATTAAGAACATAAAAGTGATTTATTTTCTTGGAGTTGATAAAGGCTGAACACCACCCCCTCTAAGGCCTGGAAAACACTGTGGAACAGGGAATAGGAAGAATGTAAGAGCTGAAAGATGGGGAGAAGGGCTGTGACATGCCATCTTCTAGGCAGGACACAGCCACTGCAAGCATGAAGTCACAGCTGTGGTTATTGGCACTGGGTCTGCACAAGACTGGCCCTCCCAACAGTTAGTCATGAATTGGGGAGGGACTCATGGGATCATGCCCTTACTTCTAAACTATTGGCCACTGACAGATTCTGGGAGATGGGGAGTCAAGTGTCTCCACTTGCATACCTACAAGTGAGCCCACCAGGCTCCAATGCATAGCTCCGAACCCATGGTCACAGAGAAAGACTCAGTGGGTCACAAAATGAAACAAAGACATGAATGTGGAGAAGAGATTTGCAGGGAATTAGGGGAGGGGTACTGACAGGGATGGGAGGGAGGTAAGATGTATGAAATTCTCCAAGAATAAATTTAGCAATATTTTTTTAATTTAAAAAGGTGGTTGCTCATGAAACTGCTAAATGTCCACTAAAATTCATCCATTCTTCTCCTCCACAAATGGCATGGTTAAATCCCTTGACCTCACTTGTTTTAAAGAGTAAGCACGTCTTCTTTGTGTGAACAGAAGTGATGTGTGTCATTTCTAGCAGAGTTCTTCTTTCCTCTTTCTGATGGGTCAAACTAGTGATAACTAAAGTGACCTTGGGAGTAAAGTATTCACAGTGGAGTGTCTGGCATCAGCCTAGGTCCCTGAATGGGAAAACCATCCACCAAGCTAAAGACTAAAACTTCATTTGTGTTTAAAATACTATTACATGCAAGGGACTATATTACAGCAATGTAACCTATGCTACAAACACACAGTCTATATCTTATATAATTTTTCTAGTCCCCATGAATATAAATCTAACTATTCCTGAGAGACTAATTCAAAAATAATTACTTTTTAATAAGCACAAATATACACATGTAAAAAGTTGGAGACTATTTGAGAGTTAAAAAAAATAAAACTCAAATTTGCAGAAGGCTTCCTAACAAAGGCACAGTGTCCTTCAAGAACTAAAGATCCTTTCAAAGCAATGACTTTGACAGCTTTAAGAAAATTCCATGAGTTAACATCTTTTCATTAGAGATATAGAAATACAACATGTATAGCAACATTACCAAATGGATTAGAGAAGACAGGGAAACATTTATGCATGTGTGTGCACACATGTGGGATTAAAATGACCAAAATTTAGGCTGGAGAGATGGCTCAGAGGTTAAGAGCACTGGCCGCTTTTGCAGAGGACCCAGGTTCAGTTCCCAGCATCCACATGGAGGCTAAAAATCATCTGTAACTCCAGTTCCTGGATATATGACACCCTCTTCTGACCTCCATGGGCATGGCACGACATGGGTGCACTTACATATATGCAGGCAATACATTCGTGCACACAAAGATAAAAATAATAAATAAAATATTAAAATAAATAAAATGACCAAAGTTCTTTGAACGGTAAGTTTTAAGATGCAGTATCAACTTAGCATTATGTTACATGCCAAATACGGAAAATAATTTATAACTCAGTTTATATGACTTAATTGTTTGCATTTAGTAGAATGACATTTAGGTTTTTGAGGACTTCAGCAGACATCTGTTCAAAATACTCAATACCAAACAAGACTCATATTGCTAATAATGATGTCTGCGAGATTTACTAATTTATTATGGAAACGATTCTGGCTATGTTAATTTTCTTGCTCCGTGAAAACAGCAATAGTAGAACTACATAATAATCTGTTCTGCATATGGCAAGAATTCAGTTGATAACTATTTAGGGAATAAACAGAAAGGCAACAGCAGATGAGATAAACAAAGGCAGAACCATGACCTCATGAACGCAAAAGGGACAGGCAGACCACACTGGGATAAGACGCTGTGCATACGAAGATCTTAGCAGACAACTTCAGGGTTAAATAAACAAGAAAGAAATTCTAAAAGGAAACTTGAGTTCTCTTTACAAAGGCCAAGTAGTCCGGTTGAAAATCAAATACCCAATGCTCCAGCAGGGAAGAGTAAGTAGCAAGTTAATCAGGGTTCTATTTGTACTTAAACTATCCAAGCTGATTATTTTATTGAGAAATTGCTCAATCTTTACTCAAAGTTAGTACTCAGAGCATGTGATGTGTTTGACATTTGACTAATACTGTACATGGCACAGTGTTCAGATAGAACGAGATTCCCTGGTGCGTTCGTTCATACTCCTTTAGAGTTAGAACTCTAATCAATGAATAGATTCTTAATTCAGACAAAAAAATAATTCTTTCTCAGAAAAGTCATTTTCAAGGTTTCTAACATCCCTTTTACTTTTGAAGGGCATAAACTTCATGCCTCTGACTTCTCAACATCAATTCCATCTCAATATCCATTCATTCATACTCTCTCACACCCATAAGCACGCACATACAACAAGCCTGTACACCAACTCAACAGCATTTCCAAGCACCGTTTCTCCTTTCATGCTCCAGTGTATCCAGGATATTATTATTTAGCAGAATCTTTTTTTTTCAATTACCACAAGGGTTGGGGAGATGGCCAAGTGGTTAGGAGTACTTACTGTTCTTGCAGAGGACCCGAGCTCAGTTCCCAGCCACCTGTAACTCCAGTTCTAGGAGATCCAATACTCTCTTCGCTCTGACCTCCTTGGACTCCTACACACACGGTGCACATACACTCAAGCATCCATACATACCACAGACTAAAGAATAAATTTTTTTTAAAAATTACCACAACGGATAAGGCACTGGTATGATGGCTTAATTTTGGCAGAAAAGTCAGTCCTGAACGAACTTGGTAATCCCGGAATCCTCCAGCTACAGAAAGTGTAGTCAAATTTATATGTCGAGCGTTTAAAATCCAATAGTTGTTTACAGTCATATAAAAATCTGATAGGAAATAAAAAAGAGAGGTACTGAAAAGTAAGTCATTTCCTGCAACCACACTGATAATACTGATATCTGATTGAACTTTTGTTTAAACTATCTGGTCTATCTATAAACAATATGTTATTCAGGTTTCTCTATTTTGAGAAAAGTCATTAGCTTTGTATATGTTCCCATTTCCCCAATAAATCAGAATACTAAAGAGTTACTAAGATGTCAGCCTTAAAGAAAAAAAATTAACCTAATGTTACCAGCTTTCACAAGTCCACATGCAAACACATTTCCATATCTGAGGAATGAGACTGCATAATATAATAAAGAAACCCTATATTCATCCAAAGAATTGCTAGACCTGCCAAATGGTTGACATTTGTGGTACTGATTTCATGAGGTATGGCCATATTGAATCCCATCACACTGTGTTCATTAAATATGTGCATTTTGGTATATCAATTACCTCAATAAAGCAATTTTTAAAAAGACACATAAACTCCTCCCTATCATGGAAGTATCCCTCTTTATGAGGACTTTAAATTTTTCTTTGGACAACTCTTACCACACACTATTAATTAAGTCCTCACAATATGATCTATCAGGACAGCACCATATTAGTTTTAGGACTATGCTGCTGAGGCAACTCTGAGTGTTAGGAGTCTACCCATTAAGGTTAACAACTAATTTAAAGGAATTAATTTGTAGGCAATTTTTCACATCATCTATGCAAAGCGAGAAAATTTTAATGTTGATTACTAAATTTGGACCAAACCAAGGAGTTCTCATTTCTTTTTCTGGTGATAAAAAATTAATGCATTGCTATATTGGCATTAAATCCTACTCATGACTTCAAACATTTGATACAGAAAGCTCTCCTCATTAAACATCTCAGCAATGTGTACCTGAAACAACACCCAGCCCTGGAGGACCCGGGACAACCATCAATGGAGTACATGCCATTGTCTAAATATTAAAGCTGAAAACACAGTTCAGAAGCTACTAAATATATTTTCTATTCTTTTATGAGTATTTTGCTTGCACGTATGCAAGTGCACCCATGGATGCAATGCCTAGGGATGGTTGTCAGCCACCATGTGGGTGCTGGGAACTCCATCTGGGTCCTCTATAAGAGCAGCCAATGTTCTTAGTCACTGAGTCATCTCTCCAGTTCCTATTTTCTATTATTACCTTGACAAATACATTATCGAATAACTTAGCAGGCCAAGTTCAAATTAAGATTCTCAGAGACCTCAGAGTTAGCACATTGCATTATGACAACACAGAAAAGCAGACCTCTGGCCCAATGCTGTGCTACCCTTTCCCTGTCCCCAACCTATCCTACATCAAAAGAGCTTTGTATGAACATGGAAGTTCTGCCTGTTGTTCCTGGAATGTCATACCTTGGCCACAAGTTAACTTAGAACAGCACATACCTGCCCTTAGAACAAAGACAGGTAAGAGTACTACATAGGTCCTGAAGCCAGCTTGGGGTACACAGTAAGAACAGTTGAGTCAGGCATGGTATACATACAGATAGTCCCAGCACTGGGGAGGCAGAAGCAGGAGGATCAGGAGTTCAAAGTCTTCTTCAGCTATATATATAGCAGAGGCCAACCTGGGCTACATAAGACCCTGTCTCAAAAAAAAAAAAAGGAGGAAGGGAAAGTAACGAGATGAGGGAAGAAAAAGTTTGGATCTAAAAGTAAAGGCATTAGCTATCAGCTAAGGCCGCTGAGCCTGCATACCTTACTCTGTGAAGAAGCGCATGATCAGAGATTACCCTCTACGTGCAGGACCTCTCCTCTCTATCTAAAGGCAGTATTTTCACCAAGTATAAACAGGGAATCTACTCCTAAAGTCATACAGATTTCTCTCAAAAATTTAAAATCCATGACTACTCGAAATTTGTTTAATGCAATAGGAAATGAAGAAGAAGGAAAATGGGCTCCCTATAATTCAAGAAAAGCACCCTAACCTTAAGATTCACTTCCAACCTGAGCCTTGTAGAGGCGGACCATTGCTGTCCTTCAGAATAATAAAACCTGATTGTGTTGAAGGTTCATTCTTTAGGGACTGGGATGTAGCTCAATGGCGTAACATCTGTCTAGCAAATACAAACCTCAGGATTTAATCCCCAGCACTGAAAACAAAAAAGAACAAAAGCAAAAGGCCATTCTTCAAAGAATTTTTTTTGTGTGTGGGTGTCTTTTTTTGAGACAGGGTCTCCCTGTAGCCCCAGCTGCTGGAACTCACTATGTAGACCAGGCTGGCCTTGAACTCACAGAGATCTGTCTGCCTCTGCCTCTTGAGTGGTGGGACTACACCACCATGCCAATTTTATATATTGCTGGGATTGAACCCCAGGTCTTGTGCATGGTACGAAAGCATTCTATCAACCGAGGCCTCAAAGGAAACTGGAAGTCAAAAGCCTTCAGGCACGTCTTATTGTACTAGACATGATAATTTTGTTTTTAAAAATTTTATTTATTAATTTTGTGTGTATGAATGTATTGCTGCATGTATGTAAGTGCACATGTGTTGTGCAATGCCTGCAGAGGTCAGAAGAGGGCATCAGATCCCCTGGAACTGGAGTTACAGACAGTTGTTAGCCACCATGTGGGTGCTGGGAATTGAACCTGGGTCCTCTGCAAGAGCAGACAGTGATTTTAACTGCTGAGCCATCTCTCCAGCCCTTCAAAGGATATTTTGAAATGTAGTTTGGATCATTCTAACTTAATTAACTACATGGTGCATCTATATATTGTACAAAATTCAATGATAGAGTAGTAACAAATATGAATTTTAGCCTTTGATTCTTTTTCTAAATCTATGAATATTCATAATTATTAGAAACAGTACAAAAGAGCTAAACAATTTTAATAATAAAACTTTTTAAAATTTTTACTGTAAGATTCCTACATGTCACATTTCAAATTTAATAACTCTTAAAAGGATGATCCCTTTCATCATCCCCAATAGTCAAGCTCTAGTACCTAAGGATTATAAAACACATGTCAACCATGTTATAAAAACGTGCCTGGTACCTGAAATCTAGCCAAGAATCCACAGGTGGGAAGCTCACAGGCCCCAGGAATAAACTACTACTATCATTTTGCTAAATGGACATAGTATAAAACTACCCTCTAAATTCGTATCTCTATACCCATAGATTAGTGCAGTCCTCAGACCTCATCAGAGAAGTTTCTTTGTGCAGTGGACAGCAGTTAATGAGGAAACTCATAACTGGTGAAAGTACAGAGAATAAGTTGTCTATGGAGTGCTCAGCCATAAATGGGATATCTATATCAATATCACCCCCTCCCCAAGGCTCAGGGAACATCACAGAACAAGGGGCAGAAAGATTGTTAAGAGTAAGCAATTGGGAAGGACTGGAGTGAAAGAATGTTTTCTAGACATTACAGTTCTTCCCTCACGAACTCACAGCAGCTGTATTTGCCTACACAAGACCTGCAGAAGATCAAGTCAGTCAACATTCTTAGACTAGAGTGGCAAGGGGGTT